AATTGACAGAATGAGAAGAAATATGGAGCCATTTTTTGTGTGTTTAATTAATACTAACTAAATCTTAGTTAAAGTTGGATTATTGAGTTAGAAAAGTAAATCCTGAATACTTTGCCTTCATGGGCTCTTCCTTCCTATCCTGAAAATCTGCTCTTAAAGCGTATTGGTCTGAGGGATTATTGCTCTCTGTTTCTACAACTTTTGTTTGGTGTGTCTGCTGCTTTTATTATGTTTGCAAGCATGGAAATATAATTTTGAAAACAACTGACCTGACATCCATCTTACTTTCCTGGAAATTTTTTCAGATTTTCATTCCAGTCTTACCAAAAGGCAATTTCCACTGCTTTTCTGCAGTTTGGGGGCTGATCAGATTAGTTAAACAGAAGCCTTTGCTTACTACTACTCATCTTTCTGGTTTCCACACCTTTTCCTGAGGTGAATTTCCTTTCACCTCAGCCCCCCACCCACATACACCCTGGGGTATTTCCAGTTAGGGTTGCAGAAACTGTGTAATCTGATTATTCCATGACTGGTTCCAGACCTCACTGGGTATAAAGCATGAACAAAACCACCCATCTGTGCTTATTATTCACTGAGGGCTTACTTTCTTGGCATATTTCCCAAAATTATACCAAATGCAGCTAATTCCCATTACAGACAGAATTCTCACCTTCAGAACAATCAAGTTACCCAGTAAAGCCTTCTCTCGCTTCTTCCACTGTTTTTGGATTTGAAAGCAACCCAGCTGTCTCTGAGGATAAAAATGAAAACAAACATAAAAATAAGCCACTCTTACATTGCAAAGAGTGGGAGAAATTGGCCATTTTTTAATATAAGTTTCAAACAGATGGTGAGCTAATTTGTATTTTCATTTTGACATTTACCTACTCAGTGGGAGTGCAATTAAGCCATATTTTAAGCCTATTCAAAGTGGCCTTCTTCTGAAAATGTTGTAGAGATATCTGTGTATAATGCTTGCCACCAATTGGTGGAGCTTAAGGATTCAGGAACGCTCGTCTTTCCTCCCCTAGACCACCCTAACTGAGGGTAGGTTACCTCCTCTATGAAAATTTCAGACTCCTACTGTCCTTCCTGCCTTCCATCCTGCCTAACTCTAGGCCAGTTTCCACAGAGCTGGCAAAGAGATCTTTCTTTCATGCAGATTTGACCATGCCAGCCCCCTGCTTGAAATAAACTTTTTAGTGACTTCTCATGAACCTCAGAATTAACCCATAACTCTGGTATTAACATGTTGCCAAATTCCCTCTTGATCTGACCCTGCTCACTCTGCCTACCTCAATCCTGGTCTCTCCTCCCCTTGTGCACCTGTCCCTGAGTCATATCAAGCCATATTTTGTCCCAAGCTGTGCCTCTCCCTCTCTCACTGCCAGGCATTTGCACCTACTTCCCACTTGACCTGGAAAACCCTATTGCCCCTTCTTCACCTGGCTCATGCCTTCTTTTTCATTTTGCCTTTCAGTTTAGTTGCAATCCAATGATACTATTTTTACCATGCTAAAATATGGCCAAAGATAATTTTATCTAAACAGTAGAATGCTATGCAAGATTTTCAATCTTACTGAACATATTCCATCTTGCACATTTTTCCATGTTGCTGAATGAAAACACATATTAGAATTCTGCAGCAACTCAATTTTCCTCTTGCCTAAGTTGCTGAAAACAGTCTAACCACAAGTAGATGATTCTTTTCATGTATGATGGAATTTTCCACTAATGTGTCTACTGACTCTAGCCACATCCACATGTCCTCTAGTCATGGCCTGTCACACTCCACCCCTGAAATAGCAGTCCCCTGAACTTCCAGTGTTGTATTTCCATTTTTTTCACCCAATGATTGAATAAATTATAACATCTGAACTCCCTGTTGGACAAAACTGAGTCATACTCTCAATTTTAGAGGAAGGAGGAGGTATGGTGGCAAAGGATATGAAGATATTATGAGATTGACCTAAGATTTGTAGTATTTGGGCACAGAAAAAATAGAAGTCCCAATTTTGGACCCTGTTTTCAGTTCAGAGGTTCTGCTTGTTTGGGAAATAATATAACAAAGAGAGTTAATCCTTTGTCCTGAAAGGATTTGCCTTGAAGAAGGATGAGTTCCAGAGCAGTGGGACCCAGACTGAGACAGTCAGCAGCCCTTCCCCCGCCCCCAGCCGGCTGGCTGTCCACTCACTTTGGATTCTATCCAGTTGGAGTTGCAGAAACTGTGCAATCTGACCATTCCATGACATTAGACTTCACTGAGTATAAAGCAGGAGTACACAGTTCAACCCGGAGTCTGCCAGCACTTTGCTCCCATTGCACTTGCTCTGAGGACGTCTCTCTCTTTTCATGTTCTCCTGTAGTGGAGTATCACTTTCCTGAAATAGCTTTTATGTGACTTGCTTTATGGATGTTTTCTGTAGAGCACTACTCCTTTCCTTTGAGACTTTAATTTTAGTAAATTGATTGAATTTTATTTTTCTTTTAATGAGAGCTCTTGTCACATCCTCCATATCCTTCCAGATTGCTGTGCCTGTTATTCATGTCACTAATCCGTTGGCCTCAATGTTCGTGGCTATCCATTTTTTTCTTTTACATATTCAAATAAAATTAACTTCCTCATAGCTTTCTTAAGGGTATTTTTACACTAATTTATTGAAAACCACTTAAATCTAATCACTTCAATACATTTTTCCAGTTTACTAGTAGACAATAAACATAATGCATTGAGTTGTTTTTTTTTTCTTTTAAAAGACAGTTTAGATTAATAGAGTTTAGGAAACCCTGGCAAAACCAGATGAAAATGTCTTACTGATTCTTATCACATCAATGTCCTAGGAACAAAATGGCCCCATGTGTGCTTGATGTAATGAATTAGACAACTAATTTAAGTGTAGGCAGCATGGAGCTGGACTCTGGAGGTGGGCAGAGTTCCACCACTTCAGGGCTGGGTTGCTCTCAGCAAGTTACAGAGCCAGTCTGAGCTTCACTGTCTTTCTTTGTCAAATATAATTGTTGGGAGCAATAAGTGAGGTGCTACCTAATGTAGCAACTTATCAATCCTCTTCTCTAGTCCTTCCTCCCCTACCATTTCAACAAGTGTTTCAGGTAGAGTTAATGAGAACCAGGTGATAAAGCCACAAACACCATCCTTGCTCTCCAATTCCTCCGAAAAATAAAAATAACTGAAAGTGACTGATTAATTCATGATTTTTTAAAAGTATGTGGATCACATATGTATGTAAATAGTACATTTAAGTTATGAGGCTTTGTTTGACCCAGACATGCAGCTGATTTTACAGAAAATTACTGTGCAACTGGTTAATCTGGAATTGCTCCATATTCTTCAATTTTGATTACCAAATTTGGAATTGAATAGAGTTCTGGTCCATAATCACAAGAAACTCAAATACAGGAAGATGCTACTTTCCCTGACGCTTTGTTATTTAGTTCCACTGACAGCAGATTAGTCAGTCACCCCTTAGGGAGAATTTTTTCCACGAAGAGTTAGACTTAGGAATGCCTTGGCAGTTTTTACAAACAAGCTAACCTGATGGAAATTCATTTTGAGTTGATAAATCCTATGGCATAATCATTTTAATTGTGTTTACTTATTAGAACACTGCTTTGAATTGCTTTGCTTACTTTTCAACCTTTTTTTTGAAACAGTCTCACTCTGTCACCCTGGCAAGAGTGCAGTGGTGTCATCAAGGCTCACTGCAACCTCCAACTCCTGGGCTTAAGTGATCCTCCTGCCTCAACCTCCCTGGAACTATAGGCGTGCACCCCAGCTAATTTTTTCTATTTTTAGTAGAGATGGGGTCTCGCTCTTGCTCAGGCTGGTGTCGAACTCCTGAGCTCAAATAATCCTCCTGCCTTGGCCTCCCAGAGTGCTAGGATTACAGATGTGAGCCACTGCGCCCACCCTCAAGCTCTTTTTTGACATTCTGCGAACATGAATGTCAGGACATTGTGGAGATCCAAGACCTAATTCTTACCATGGGCCTTGAAGTAATTTTGATGAACTCCATAGTTGAAAGATGGGTAACTCCTTAAATAAACATGTAGAATGTCAGAATTTTAAAGGGCTTTAGTGATTACTGGTCCAGTCATACATCTGAAGCTTAAATTTGCTCTAGTACATCCCTGCCAAGTGAGATTCAACTCTTCAGTGTCCTCCAGACAGCTCTATTAAAAACTTTTTCTTTATCTTAAACCCCACAGCTTCCACCTTTGGGTCCAGATGCTATTAGAAACATAAAAATCAGTTCTGCTCAAACTTATGAGGCTGCAAACTTCTTAAGGGCAGGGACTGTATCCACTGCAGCTACCAGTAACTTGCTAAATGATTGCTAAATGGAGTTAAAAGCAGATGTTCTTTATTTTGGGATATTATCTTATAGAACGGCAAATGATCAGTATATTTAAGTTCCACTGAGAAAGCATCATAAAAGTAACTGATATTATTATTTAAATGCTATAGCTGATATATTTTGTTATTCATTCAATCTTATAATTCAAGCCATTTTACCTGTTTATCTTATACATCATAGTACTTTTATTATAAAATAGCATATTTCATGACTCTACGGATATTAACTATTAGGCATCACATGCCTGAGACATGAGGCAGAGAAGTTGAAACCCTACTGTAGTAGGCATTAGAAGTCCTGGGTTATAGCCCCAGCCCCGCCACTGCCATCTAAGTGACCCTGCACAGGTCCCTCAAGCTCTCCACAAACTGATTCCTCTTCCACAAACTGCAAGGGTTGAACCAAATGCTTTCATTAAGTTCTTTCCACTTTCACAAATTTTTTGTGTTTCAAAAGTGATCAAAATTTTTTGACTTGTCGGTCCCATGTGGTAGAGTATCATAGAGACAGTCAAAGAATACAGACCTCTGATTTCCAGTTCAGTTCTCAATTTATATCGTCAATAACTATCCACTTATGTACACTATTTAAAACTGGGGTGCTTTTTTCCCTTTCTCTTTTCAGAACACGTTTCTTCAGGAAACAGTGCGTAGAGAGTGTGAAGAACGCTTTGAGCTGACAGAGGCTTTGAGTCAAGCCAGGGAACAGCTCCTGGAACTCAGAAAGCTCAGTGGAAGTTTACCGTTGTCACCAAGTTCCCTCAGCAAGGGCAGCCTAACCTCCCCTGCTACAGCAGTCGGTAATCATGGAGAGAGAAGCCTTGCGAGACTGAACTCTGAAAAAGTGATCAAAATTCCCAGCCTGCATGGAGTGTCAAAACCCACCACTGCCACAACCTCAGATAAGCCCAAGAGGGTCAGCAGCTCAGGTTTGCCGGTTCTCCCCCAGCCACATCCTCCCAGGGGTGGAGCATCTTCAGCAAATGAGCCCAGACAGAGACTAGCTGCCATTCTTCGGAGGAGGCTAAGTCAGCAGTGATTGTCCAAAGTCAGGAGCGTGCTCTTTCACAGAGTGCCAGAAACGCACTGTAGCCAAGGAGGACAAGGACCAAATTATTTTCACAGGTCAAGAATGCATGTCTATAGATATACTTTTAAAAAATGTAACAAGCTAGAAAATTGTGAACCCACAATTGTAACATAATTAAGTTGTTGGTATTTCAGAGGGTCAATTTCTATATTTATGTATATACATTCAGATGTGCACTGTGAATATGTCCTTTTAAAGATCACCGGTAAAATTTTTCACCCATAACATCTTTTCTAATTTTTTTGGAGCATTACAAAGCAGAAATATTTCCACAAAGAATAGATTGTATTGGTTTTGCCGGTGTTTGCTCATTTGTTTGTTGAGCTGAATAGGTTAAGTAGGTATAATATGTATTCCAAATAGAAAAAAAAAAAGTACTTTAATCCTTGATGAGATAATTTCCAAAATTCTTAGTTCAGATTTTCACAATACTCATCACCCTAATCAAAAGCTGCTTTTCTTTACCTTGCAATCTAGTTGGCTAATCTAATTTCTTTAGGCTAGGTCAGAGAATGATACATAACCTTCAGGAAGACAGTCTTCCCTCAGTGTCTGGGGACCTCCTAGAAAAAGGGATGGTAACTCCAATTCAAGAAAAAGGTGTTTACTTCTCAAATTATAAAGATTACTTTAGTAAACAAAGAGCCTGACCAGATTGGTAGGTATTTTCTATATCAAATGCTTTTTAGTACTCAGAGTTAGGTTTTAATTTGAACATGTATTCTCAAGCCATTGGGAAGAGAACCAATTCAAAACAGTTTAGCAAAGGCACATAGAGCTAATGTGGATTCAAATTTTATTACCCCTGAAAATGAGTAACTGGTTAACATGTTTTCTATTTTCAGAGTGGGAAAGTAAAACCAGAAACCAGATCAGCTATTTTAAGCTATCTTAAAGTTTCAGGCTCCTCCTGTTCCTTAAAACACAACTCTTTACCTTAGGCTAGTGTTTGTCTGTCTTTTTCACCATCTAATAAAAGTGTATTTTCCTTCAAAAACTGACTGTACTTAAATCCTCCATCTGACTACATCATGGACATCCAGCCTTCCTACTCCTGTATTACAATAATAGTAGATGTAAAATATGGTACATAAAATTCTCTACTATTTGGCTACTTTATTGATGAGAGAATCTAAAGGTACTTAGGATCCCTCCCATGTATAAAAATGTAAAATTACTAAGCAAAATCAAGTTTCTCTCCCATCTTCCAAAGGATTAACCTAATTAACCAGTAGAGTGTTTCAATCTCAAAAAAATTCCACATTAGGTCCACTTGTGTTAAGAGTTGGAATGCTCACTTTTGTTTTACGGACATCGGCGTCCCTTGTAATGGCATTGGACAAGAGAGCACGACATCAGGAAGGTGGCACTGGGGTGGATCTTAGAGGTCACCCCAACGATCACTTACCAGATAAAGAATAGGTACCCCAAGAGATCGTGACTTGGCTAAGGTGGTGCAGCCAGTTAGTAACAGAGCTGGAACCAGGACCTCTGTCACCTGACCCCAATGTTTCCACCTCACCAGAGCTTCCCAAGCCACCATCATGATTTTTGTCAGTGGCACCTGCACTGTACTTAGTTAACATTTTTAGCTAAAGACAATATTAGTTAAAGACAATGTTTCTTTAAGTGCACCTTTTAAACTGAAATTTATATAAAAAGGAAATGACACAAGGAATAATAACTATAAAGTAATGAATTTGATTTGCTACTTTTTATAATACACTTTAAAATAAATGTGTATCTATTAAGATAAGAAATGTTAGTTGGTGTACCCTCTAAATCATCTTGTGCAATGCCAGCAGGGGACCACCGCACTAGGCCTTATCGTCTGCGATCTGTTGTTTTCATGTTTAAATTACAAGTACTCATGACATACAGAAGAAGGCCAAAGCTAGTGAAAGCACAAGAGAACATTTGGGGCAACAGTCTTTATTGTAGGGTTATACATACTTGGTACAATCTTGCAATTTCAGCTCTCTCTTCAGGAACCATGGGGATACAAGGAGTGTCTTCATTTTCCCTAAACTATGAACATATTTATATTTGTAAAGAAAATCACATGTAAGCTTTTCTAAAGGGCTGTAAAGACTATGGTTTCTCAGTTTGTTGTTACACTCTTGCTTTACAATGAGTAATTCTGTAAATAATAACTCTGAGAATAGAATCATGATCTGCAGTGAGGTTGTGTTATATTCCACAAATATGTCAGAGAAGTAATTTTCTAGATAAATAGAAAGACATTATTTATATTTATTTCAATGTAGACCATTTGAATGGTGCAGACTAAGCTACATGCTTATGTCTTTCAAATAAAAACATCTAAAAAAAGAAAAGCATTAGAGTATGTAACCTAGAGGTTAAGAACACATTCAGACCTTCCTTGATTTTCCTACTGATGAATGAAATCCTGGCATGAAACAGCTATCAGGAATGTTTAAAAAGTATTGTGTATTATGGCAAAATAAGGCTCTCAAATGCATATAATATCTATTAAGTCTAATGCTTTTAATTTCTCTATATACAGCTGTTTTCTGTGACCTCAGGGGAAGGATTTATAGGTGATAAGAGAAAAGAATATTATGTAAAATATTCCTTAGATAATTATAACCCTCTGTTTTTCTTCTTAAACTTGTATGGATGGACAAAGATGAAAGAATTCTCCTAAGTTAGCATAGATTTCTCAAGCGGTTTTTAAAAGTTTTATTTAATTAAATTACTATATTTACAGTTGGTCAGAACTGCTTAAAAGTTAGATTTTCTGGCAATGGAATTGACTGGAAGAGACATTAATAGTGAAAATTATGTAAGACTAAGATCTTCTAATGTTCTGTTAGTCTTAAAAAAGTTTTTGTAATATTTCAGATCAATTATAGCTAATTTCTTTGATTATGGAACAAGTTTTCTCAAGCTTTATCTTTTAAAATTCTTATGTCTGTTACAATATTGCAGTGATAAATCAATCTAGTATCCTAAGAGTGTTACATACTGCAGCTATTAATAAAAATTCCTAACCATTGTGCTGTAGCTTATGGAGCACAGGAAATCAATTTGGAATGTGCCCAAAGTTCACAAATCCTATAATGATTATGGATTATTGAACTTTTTCATTTTGATGTTTTAGGAAAAAAATTAATGTACACAGTATCCTGCACAGAACACCTTTAATGGTCCTCAGACCATGATAGACAATTATGGTATCATTCCTAAGGTGGTGTCTATGGTATTTTAAGGAAGAAAATTTACTTTTCTTCTTGAAAATATTAACTGTGTGTTGTAGCAAGTTGTGAAGCCAATGTAAGTTGCACTTTTAGAATACTAAATATAAATTATATCATCTTTGTATATTGTGAATTTCATAGATAGAATTTTCCTAACAATACAGTAGTTGAATCTGGAATACACTTTCCTATGACAATATTTACCATAATCTAGTAAATCACATGATTTCTCTCTTCTCCAACATTTATACAGCATAGTACTTTATATCCATTAAGTGAGTAAAAAAATTACTAGGCATCCCTTACCCTCCAAGAAAATATGTAAGAGAATACTGAGTTGCAGAGATTAAGTAATTTGCCAAAAATAAATAATAGATAGGACTAATAAATAATTTTAAGCTTCTGCAGTTTCTGAGCATCTTGATCCATAGATTAATACTGAAGCTGTATTATTCATTCACTCATTTCTTCAACAGACATGGAGAACTGAAAAAGCACTCTGAGAGCTACAAAGATAACTAAGACATACTACAGATGCCCGGGAATCGTATAGCAGGGGGCAGGAGAAAAGCATATACAGAAATTATAATGTAGGCCAGCATGTTGAGTAAGAAGAGTGTCAAGAGCAAGGTGTTAATGTCAGTTCAACTTCTTTCTAGAAGAATCAAAGAATACTTTAAACAAGAATTGGCATTTACAGTGGGTCTTGAAGAATGAGTAGGATTTTATGGAAGAAGGTATACCAGGCAGAGGAAATGTCTGAACAGAGCCACAGACTCTGTGGGAAGTGTAGAAGACATTTGGTGAAGGGAAATAGTGGGAACTTGCAAAAGGTGGGGTGACCCCATTACATGAAGGTATTGGAAAAGGGCCCAGTGCAGGCTTTTGACTGGAAGTGGCACGAGTTTTATTGAAATTTGGCAACATGGCCGTGTTGGAGCAATTACGGAATAGAAAGGCTTGCGATGGAAGACCAGTTGGTGGAGAACTGTAAGTAGTCCAGACAAGAGTTAATGAAATTCTGAATAAATATGTGTTGATATTGGGAATAAACAGGAGGAATCTGATTCAAATTCTATTCAGAAAAGAGAAAGGATTTGTTCCCTGTTAAACGCAATTCAAAACCATTATCAGCCATTGCTACCTTAGCAAGGGTGCATTTTATGAGATTGGCTCCAATTAAAGGATCATCTCCTATTTAAGGATATTACAGCTTCTCTGAAAATGTGAAATAATAAGAGCTACATTTTCATTTAGACAATTAATACCAGAGACTCAGTATTCATAAGAAGTCTCCTTAAATAAAAATACAAATCTGAATAGTGTTCTCAGAATTATGGAGGAAGAGTATAGAAATTGACATTAAAAAGAAATAACTATCATCTTGGCTCAAAGAATGCAAAGTACAACTAAACAGGGAGCTTTGGGTACAATAAAACTTCTTTCTGATTCTCACTAACAGGTTTATGAGAGAAAATATAGAAGACAATAGCTAGAATAAAAATGTTGTCTAAAAAATCTATAAATTTTATGGCTCTGAAGGGGCCTGCTGTATCACTTGGTCCAAACCTGCAATTTTATAGGAGACAATAGGTTCTTTAGACTCTAAATAATTTTGCATTCACATAGCTGCTTAACAACAGACTTGATGCAAGAGAGCCTGGGCCTCCAACTTGTGGCCTGTGCATCTCATTTCTAGACAGGAAGAACAGTATCAGTGCTATCGCTTTCGGATACTCAGAGTGGTCCAGCAGGATCAGTATCTCCTGGGAGCTTGTTAGAAAGGCAGAATATCAGTCCTCATACCTGAACCTTCTGACTGGAATCGGGTTTTGATGAGATTCTCGGGTGATTCATATACTTGCTGCAGTATGAGAAACACTGTGTATGGTGTTGCCATTGGCCCTGGCACATTCCACACTTAAGAGCTATGCATTAGTGGTGCACTGCTACCTGCCCCCATAGGTTGACCCATTTAACACCTTGGCTCCCAGGGTACCCAAATTCCACTTCTTCACCCATCGATCAGGAATCTATAACTCTCCAAGAAAACCAGTGAATTAAAGGAAATCAAT